ACTTTCTAAATATTGCCCCTTTTTCCACATTTTTAGTCGCTTTCAAGATTTCGTGTGCTCAGCATCTAACTTGTATCTGAATAATCGTGGTTTTATTCTTTTCTCAGTACAAAGATTTCGTGTGCTCAGCATCTAACTTGTATCTGAATAATCGTGGTTTTATTCTTTTCTCAGTACAAATAAACTTGGATTCACTCCCGAATTTCTCGGGCGTGTCAAGTTTGTTACATCGATAGCATCACTGATTGGAACTTGGATTCACTCCCGAATTTCTCGGGCGTGTCAAGTTTGTTACATCGATAGCATCACTGATTGGCGTTGGGCTTTATAATGGCTTTCTCAAGAAAGTTCCTCTTAGGAAAATTTTTCTTGTAACAACCATTTTTGGTTGTGCACTTGGAATGAGTCAGGTCTGTGATATGATAGAAACATTTCACCAGTTCTACCATTTTTGGTTGTGCACTTGGAATGAGTCAGGTCTGTGATATGATAGAAACATTTCACCAGTTCTTGTCTGTGTTCCATACATTAATATCTACTTATCTTGCTTTTCTGGTCATTTTTTAGGTGCTCCTCGTTACGGGAATAAATCGAGAGTGGGGTATTAGTGATGAGTGGTTTGCGATTGGGGATTCGTTGGTTATAACGGTACTTGGTCAGGTAATATATACTAAAGTACAATTTTGCATCCAATCGGAGTATGCATGTGCTTGTCCTACTCCAATTTCACCAGAATTTTTAGTGAAACGGCTTTCTTTTCTTGCAGGCTGCATGTGCTTGTCCTACTCCAATTTCACCAGAATTTTTAGTGAAACGGCTTTCTTTTCTTGCAGGCATCTTTCATGCCTGTTCTTGTGTTAGCAGCAAAACTATGTCCAGAAGGAATGGAAGCCACCCTTTTTGCAACCCTCATGTCCATATCAAACGGAGGGAGTCTGCTCGGCGGCCTGATCGGTGCTGGTTTGACACAAATGTTAGGTGTCACCAGAGACTCGTTCGACAACCTCTCGACCTTGATAATCCTGTGCAACCTCAGCTCACTGTTACCTTTGCCTCTGCTCCGCCTCCTTCCCCAGGAATCTCCGGACTCGAGCTTATTAGAGACTACAGACGTGGAGTTGAAGTCTAACTGAAACTTAGGTAGTTACTTCCCAAAAACAAACACTGTTATCACTCTTTTAAGCTTCCACAAATTCTTGGAGAGGAGCGAGGGACTGTAAATGAGATGATACTGTTATCACTCTTTTAAGCTTCCACAAATTCTTGGAGAGGAGCGAGGGACTGTAAATGAGATGATTAGGAGGTGAAAGAGTGATGTGTTGAACCAGAAGAGGTCATGAACGATGAAACAGTAACACTCCTAAATGGGCCCCTCCCCCTAAATCTATTATGGAGCCAATCATGTGGCGAGCTGACTGTGTTGTCCACGTGGGTGGGCCCTGACTCCCTTCGCTTATCCAATCGGTGCCCCCAGTGTTGGGATGGCAGTTTGATTGATAATATGGGACAAATAATTGAGTCAGGACACACCACCCGCCGCACGAGCCACGTTATGGCTTATCTCTAATATGGGACAAATAATTGAGTCAGGACACACCACCCGCCGCACGAGCCACGTTATGGCTTATCTCATTATAAACATTACCCTCTCCTACTTATACAATATTAACTTCTGCCCGTTGATTTAAACTTCTCATCTCTTAATTAGTTGGAATATGATCAATTTCATGTTATTATGTTTAAAAAAATCATCTTGGAGGTTTGAAGAGAATTAAATTAAAGAAATAGCAGAGTTGCTTGAACGTATTTTTTTATTATTATTTTTTGGTTTGTGTGACATCCAATTCAATTTAGAGGATAAGTATATAATTCATGGGGAATTGCCATTTGGGCTGGAATATAATAGAAAAATACAAAAGCTTTAATGGGTGAAAGGTCTGGTGGAACTTCAAATTATTGAGCATAAGACAATTACATTTTTGCCATTCCCCACCAAAAAGATGAAGCCAGAAAACAATAGAATATTCAGAAATTGCCTCCAAAAGAAAATGTATAAAGGTTGGAGATTCCATGGGATTGAATGACCCAAGAAAAGAAAATTATGGATTTCTTTAAAAATACTTCTCATTATGGAAGAAAAAGAAGTATTAATTCAGTATTGATGATTGGATTTTGGAGTCATTGGGCAGAGAGACTGATGTGGAGGGGTTTGTTGGAAGGTAAGAGCATGTGGTTTGCCCATGTGAAGAAGGTATCTCTCAAAACTCACTCATTCCACCTAATTCCACACTTATAAATATTGAATATAAAGCGGAGGCCATGTGACAAATCATTGTCCCACTAGATAATGCCAATGGGAGAGATTAAAAAAAAGGGGTAACCCATGTAGAAGCTTTTATATACCCTAATCAAAGTTTTGAGTACGTTAGGTAATAGATAGTGTCGTAAACGGGTTACGTAAATAACAATCACATTATGATGGTTCATGTGAGATCCCTCGTCGGTTGGAGTATGGAACGGAACATTCCTTATAAATGTGCTGAAACCTCTTCTGAGTAGATGCGTTTTGAAATAGTGAGGTTGATGACGATATATAACAGGTTAAAACGGACCACGTTTGTTAGCGGTGGGCTTGAGCTATCACAAATGGTATTAGAGCCAAATATTGGGCGGTGTGCTAGTAAGGACGCTGGCCCCCAAGAAGAGTGGATTGTGAGATCTCACATCGGTTGGAGAGAGGAATGAAACATTCCTTATAAGGGTGTAGAAACCTCTCTCTAGTAGAAGTGTTTTAAAATGGTGAGACTAAGGACGATAGGTAACGGGCTAAAGTGAAAATATATGTTAGTGGTGGACTTGGACTGTTAGATATCAGAGGCAGACACCGAACTTGGGTGCCAACGAGAATACTAGGCCTCTAAGGGTGTGGATTGGGAGATCCCACATCAGTTATAGAGAGGAACGAAGCATTCTTTATAAGAGTATAGAAACTTTTCATTAGCAGACAATATCTATTAGCAGTGAGTTTGGATAGTTACCGTTTACTTATAATAAGTTATTTAGTTTGACCCCCTGATATCAAAGTAAACATATCTAGTAGGCTACAAACCCTTTTCAAGGCTATCTATGAAAAAGGCAAGCGACTTTCATGGTCCACACATTTGTGTAGTTTTGGTTCTCGTAGACATTTAAGATATGTATCAAGCTAATATGTCAATGAATAGACCAATTGTGGTTAGCCTAACATCCAAAATTTTAGCTAATAATAATTATTCATTTCCTTTGCTTGAGAGAAAAGGGAGAAAATTAAGAACAAATTTTTTAAAAGTAGATTAATTAAGTTTATCCTCAGCTAATTTTAACATTTATCGTCACTAAATTAAAAAACATCGTACAAACGACAATAGAGACTAAACTAAAATAACCTCCCGACTCAATTATTATTGTATTAAAAAAAAAAAAAAAAGTAGATTTTTCTAGAGAGAGAGAGAGAATCCAAGCAATAAGAGACGACTAGAGTCAACGGTTTTTATTTGGATTATTTATTATAAAGATTCATCAAATAAGAACAAGAGAAAATTTTGGTATTTAATACCTAAAACAACCTCCCCTCCGACCAACCCCTTGTCGTTTTTTTTTTTCTTCCTATTTTTCCCCAAAATTTCTCACTTTTTTCTCCTCATCCGCCATTGATGCTCCAAAACCAAAGAAAAACTAAACCCATTTCTAAATTCCCCATTCCATTTCTGGGTCATCCTCTGTTCATCCAATTAACTCCAAAGCTTCGAGCTTTTTCATCAATGGAGATCGAGGTGGTTGTCACGTGCGAGTGCTGTGGCTTGAAAGAGGACTGCACCCAATTCTATATCAGCGAAGTTAAGGCGAAATTTGAAGGGAAATGGCTGTGTGGGCTTTGCTCGGAGGCTGTTAGAGACGAAGCTAAGCGAAGCAAGAAGCCATTGGTGGGATTGGAAGAAGCTGTCGATGCCCACATGTCGTTTTGTCGTAAATTTAAAGCTAACCCTGCGATTCGTGTCGCTGATGGAATTAGGCTCATGCTTAGGAGGAGGTCCAGCGACGTGTCGGCTTCTTCCTCTTCTTCTTCTCAGGCTAATTCTTCTGCTAACAAGTATGGGAGATCCAAGAGCTCGTCGCAGTTCCTCTTCTTCTTCTCAGGCTAATTCTTCTGCTAACAAGTATGGGAGATCCAAGAGCTCGTCGCAGGTGGGGTTCGACATGTCGTCGCTGTCGTTGTACTGATTTTTGGAGATCTGTTAATTAACTGTTGTCCAATTAGGGTTTTCATCTCTCTTTCTTTCTTGGTTGTTATTATTATTATTGGAATAATATATGTTTTTTCGGCCATTTTTAAAGCTTTCTTTGGGTACAAAATTACTTATTAAATTTTGAGAAATTATTAAAGCTAATATAAGGATTTAAATTTTGATGAAATTATTAGTTGGATTGGGCCTAATTGAGAAATGAAATTTGGGTAAAAAGCCCAACTACTCATCTCGGCCCAAGGCAAGGTGGAAAAGCCCAAGCCCAAGTAAATCTTCATACCCCAAAACCATAGCTTACTAAATTTGGGTAAATTTTTAAAAGAATTCTGATGGAATATAAATAATCCAACTCTGTGTTGAAGGGTCAGTATGACACTATCCACCTTACTCGCACCACGATATGATACATCGTCCCAAGAGGCATTGACATGACTGTCCTAAGAGGCATTGACACAATTTGATGCAACGTCATACGAGACATTGATGATAGATATTATCTATGTCCTAAGAGGCATTGACACAATTTGATGCAACGTCATACGAGACATTGATGATAGATATTATCTAATTTAATCACAAAATTTGCAAATATTACAACGAATTTGCTATTATATATGGAAACGTTCTATATTATGAAAATATGAAACTGCATAAAATAATTAATATTTCTAAATATTGACATGAATGAAAATAATATGGAAAATAATTGAACGTATCAGAAAGAGTTTCCGTATTTGTGTAGATTGCAGGGAAAGAAACGGATCCCACGTGGCATCAAATATATGACCGTTGGCAATTCAATTTCTCTGGTTAAATCTTTCCATCCACTCTCGTTGAGAGACGAGACCTAAAGAACGCCATGAAAACGGTCCTTTTTTCAACCTCGGCTTCTTCAAATTCAACCGCCACCGCCACCGCCATGGAAGAAGGCGAGCGATCGGAAGCCCGCGACAGATGTTACTATCCCGGTTGCCGGAAAGATGCGAATTGCAACTGCAAGATTTGCTTGGACAGTATCAACGCCACTTTGGACCTAATGTCTTACAGTGTTCAAAAAACCTCACTCATGAAGCTCTCTGCTTCGAGACCTAATGTTGAAGCTAATGTCTTACAGTGTTCAAAAAACCTCACTCATGAAGCTCTCTGCTTCGAGACCTAATGTTGAAGCCACTCCGATTTCATTTAATCCTTTGATTTTGACGACACCGCCATCGGGCACGTCTCGGACCATGAAGTACCCTAATTTTATATCTCCGGTGAAATTGAGTTTGGGATTCGAGGCTGAGGAAGAGGAAAGAGATTCAAGTTCGTTGCATCGATTTCTGACGTTGGTTTTTGTTCTGAGTTTGATCTTTGTGGTGACTATTGGATTTTCGTGTGCGATCGCTAGGGTTATTAGGCCGAACCTGTCAGTGTTCGTGCATGATTTGAATGGGAAATTGTGGGAGTTGCAGGGGATCGTGAATTTGAAGATTTCTAATTGCAGTTGCAAGGAT